CGCATCAAAATCCAAGCCAAAAGATCGTACTACAACATCAATCTCTTCCGCATTGCGTTCAATAACATTAACATATTTAAATAAGCTATGATAATTTGAACACGTTGGCATCATCCAGCTTTTTGATTGGTTAATTAGCGATTTGACCTAAGAGAACATGGCGGATATCCTACAGCATCAAACGAGACCGGAATCATTCGCTTATGACAAAACTAAGTTGACTTTTATTTGTATTTCATAACAATTCAACGAATTTATTTTGTGTACATTATTATATAATCACTACTGAGTAATAATCAATAATTCAGAAACGCAGCATGCCAAGATTTTTGTGTTCGTTTTTATTTGAAACTCCGTTTCTTTAGAATATATTTTCGTTACCAATAAAAAAAAATCTCTCAGTCAATCAGAAACCCGGATTCAAGCCTTCGGGGAAAGTCCCGTTTGAACGCTCACATCGTTTTTTTTTTTTTCGTTTTGGGGAAAACCAAAACTGGTCGCAATTTTCGAATAAGAATGAGTCTGCAATTTTTAATGGAGTTGAAAATTTGGAGGTAAATAAAATACCGAAACCCGCCAAATAAGTAGGCGAACGAATTCTTAGAGGGGTCGAAATTTTGGAGTTTTTACGGTACTTCTAATAAAGCAAATATGGTATTTATTGAAAGTAAATTATACTGGTACAGTACAAATGTGCACACAAGGTCCCAATTTTCTTGCCAGGGGTGAGGCCATGGCCTGCCAGTGGTCAGCTTATTGAAAGGCTGGCCCGCAAAAGAGCAAGCCCAGGCTCAAGCTCGGCGCGATTAGTCAGATACGGTGCACCTTATTATACTCTGCGCGATCGATGTTTTTTCACCACAACAGAAAACATAGTTTCAGTGCTCTTACATTGTTGTTTATGAATGTAGATTGAACAATTTGCGTAATGTGTCGTATGTAGCGTGGTCAGTGGTAAATTAAAAATTTAAATGTGTGTTGTTGTTTTTTTATTGTGATGCGAGTTTGAAACGATTACTGAAAGTTAACCATGGATTGAATTGTTATGTCCCCTCCCCTGCCCCATTCTGCTTGTCTTGTCTTGCGTAGCATAATTACAAGTAGTAGTTGCTAAATTAAAAGTCAATGACATCCCGATTTCCTAATATTAAATTTATGATTTGAGAGTTTGAATTTAATGAGAACCAACCAGGGCTCACCATCGCAATTGTTTATCTGTTGGGTAAAAACGGGAGATAGAACAATTCAGAAATTTTGCAGCAGATATCGATGAAACTTGATGAATAAGTCCGAATATGCACATCATTTTTTTCTGGATCTGAAAATCCTAAGTGGGTCTTTTTCATGATTTTCATTCAAAATTACCTCCCTCAACACTCCTGGGAGAACAACTGATCATGCTCAGAATAAATGATTAGCTTACCGTACTTATCCGGGTAAGAGCCCATGCCTGGACAAACGCCCACCCCCCACTTTTGACACAATAAAGAAGTTGAGGTCATATTCGGGCACACGCCCAGGGGGTCTTTTTCTACGCAAAACAAAAAAACGGGTCTTTTTCTACACAAAACAAAAAAATGGGTCTTTTTCTACACAAAACAAAAAAACTATTTTCTATTCGTTAACTGTTGACTTTCTTGAAACAAGGAGTGAATGCAAAATAGCTGTGACAGCTTTCTGCTTTCAGGGCAGCGCGTTCACCGCTGATTTTTTTTTTCAGAATCATAACAGTCAGCAAGTCTATAAAAATAAATATTAAAGCAGAAACGGTAGTTTTCTTTTTGAAATATGTCGTGGCCCTAAAAAGGGCCGGCCGTTTGGTGTGTGCTTCCTTAGAAACGATTCAAGCAAATCGTATAAGGAGATAGAGCCGCTAAGCACTCGTTCGGCTTTAGTGTCGTCGACAATGAAAACAATGTTGCAATATTGTAGCAACCCGTACCTGGGAGAATGGTTGAAATCACGTTATTTTGGCTTTATAAAATATTTTGTAGCAGCTTGCGAATCCATAACTGGGGCCAGCAATTTTGCAATGTCATGCCGAAGACTGCCAACTTTTTTACCATCTTTTTATCACCGCTATTGCATTTCTGTCATGAAAACTATTCTTCTGTCGTTGGATAAAAAAAAACTTCCTATTT